CCGGTATCCGCAATACATGTCCCCAAGCACCGAAGTCTCTAGGGCGAGATGACGGCACTCGCTGTTGTATCCCGTATAACTCAATAAGTACACAAGCAGTTAATCAAGTAGCTATTCTATCTCCAGTATGCAAATGTAAACGTAGCCGGTCCGTAAGCCGATGAGCAAGCAGTGCGTCAACAGGAAGGCACAAATTGGTGCGACCGTTACCAAAAGGAGTGTCATCACACTGGGCAGTCAACGAACCAATCAATGCGGGCAGGTCAATGCTGACCTCTGATTCGCTGCCGCGGATCGACTTTGTAAAAAAGGAAATCCGCATGACGTGCGAATGTGTGTGGGGAGGACAGGCTGCAACGGTCGGTCACGTGACGTGCGGTAAACATTTCACTCGACTGCAGGCCACAACACTTGATATATGTCATTATTCCATTTCCCTGTTCGTCGAGCTTAGCAATTTGTTCGCGAACGTTTCATCACCAGCCGAGGTGACATCATCAGTGCTTGTGAAGTGTTCACTTCGATCGACTTGAACCTGGCAAGATCTACTTCGCGGGAATTGCTAACTGAGCATCCACCAAATCAATTTGCGAACTCGTGGAACTATGCATGCAGACGTACGTTAAATTCGAGAGTGAAATCTACAAACAGCTGAAAGGAAAATCAATGGCATCACCAATATCTGGATTCATAGCCAAAACCATAATGCAGAAGCTGGAGGAGGTACTACCATGAACCATGCCAAAACTTTGACGCCGATTTGTTGATGACACATACGTCATCTTGAAGAAGTTCAAGCTAGAAAGAACATACAACATCATCAATAACATTCAATGGCATCAAGTTCACAATGGAGACAGAGAAGGATAAACAACTGGCATTTCTGGACATCCTGATTATTAGAACGCTATCAGGAAAACTGGAGACAACGGTCTACCGCAAAGCAACGCATACGTAAAAAAGGCCAGTTCACAAGCACTGATGATGTCACCGCGGCTGGTGAAGAAACGTTTGCAAACAAATTGCCCCAAGCTCGGCGAACAGGTGAAATGGAATTCAGTTCACTCGAGCTACGAGAACCGATTTAAAATACTGTCATATGCCATTATTGCTGGAGATATGAATACTTCAGACAAACATTTGTTCAAATCATACATTGAAAGTTCGAGCTAACCGCATAAACAAGTTTTGGAAAATCAACAAATTTAAACTGGATGGTACATCTTACCTTGTGCACGCATACATCCTCCAGTGTGGCTGGATCAAAAGTTAAATTACTCAAATCAGCATTGTGTTTGACTGAACCAAAACCATCACCCGAGGGGCACTGCTCATTCATTGATCTGTAATAAATCAGTGAACGGGGATAGATTGAAAACTGAGTATACAAATGATATAGCAAGAGAAATGGAACAGTCACAATCGCCATCATACAGCGAAATGTAGTGGAGTAAACTTCACTGATCACAGTCAAACATTAATGTACAAGATGGACAGCGATTGGACCTAATTTAAGGGACAGGGAAAGAAAGCGAACCTCAATGCTCAACATACAGAGAACACAACCTAAATATAAATGCATACGTTTCTGATCATTCAGGCCTGATAAGAAGTGGTAATGTGAACACCATTGCTTTCGTTTAGTTGCCATCACACATTGTCTCAAACCAAAAAGTTACGGAGTCTTTTGGACCCCAGCCTGGAAAACGGAAGACATCTACTCTACCGAACCGCTCTGTGCATTTCTTCAATCCTCGTTTCTACGTCATCTACTGGTCTCCACGTGGCTTTCTCCAGTCTGCAGCGGCCACTGCGAATAAGGCGCGCTGCGGTAGGCGACCATCGGATATACTCAAAATGTGTCCCAAACCAACAGTCTACTGAGCTGAATTCGATGCGATAGCGAGTTCGTGTTCGATGCATTCCCAAACGCCTGACGAACTACATCTAGGTTACTAATCTGCTCGCTCTATCCCACGTTGGCCAGATTACGAAAGCATCAATTGTCGAAAACCACTAAGCGACGAATGTTTCCTACCCGTAAATTCAAGGTCTTGCAACCGTAAGGAAGAACTGATCGCACAATGGCGCAGTATACGCGACTTTTCAACTTCGGTAAAACGTCATGTTGTCACCAAAGGTGTTCCAGTCCTGCGTATGCTCGAGCCTTGGGAATGCGAGCGGTTATCTAGTTTCTGAATGGAACTCGGAGAAACCCAGTCTTGCAGATCACTTTGCACTTCAAAGGTGCAAAACACTTACTGAACGGAGCAACAGAATTTGCTAGTCTGTCAACTGCGCTTCGTGCATATCCCATACATTCAAATAGACAATGTCGTCAGCGTACTCTAGGTCACACAGCTTTTCTTCATCTGCCCGTTCAACACTAACATTTTGGAGATCACGTAGTGCGTTCTCTAGTAATTCTTTTATGATGAAATCGAACAGGAATGGCAAAATAGGGCACCCTTGACGAACACCACTAGTTACGAAGGACCTACTCAGCTCGCCTTAGACTCTCACGTTACCACAATTCTGGGAGTAGAGTGAATTCAATAAGTTCACATACTTCGGTAGCATTCCTTTTTGAAGGAGCAAACCCATAAGGGATTGGCGGTCAACTGAGTCAAAGGCTCCTCTTAGGACATAGAACACGACAGTAGTTGATCTAAGGTGTCTATGGCTTAGCTCGAGTGAAGAGTTGGTCGATACAACCGCGACCTAGTCGAAATGCTGTTTTTTTCATTTGCGGATATTTGTCCCCCTAAATGGTGTTACACGTCGGAGGCTAATAACTTAGTGACGATTGGGATCAAACTTATTTCGCAGTGGTTTGCGCACTCGTTGCGAGATCCCTTCTTAAAAATCAGAGCAATCAGTAATTCGCTCCAGGATAGCGGAACGCTCTCCTGTAACCAAATGCTACGTATTGAATCAATAATGGAATCCTTGAGGTTATTGACCCCACCAAGCACGCAAGAGAATTTCTGGAAGCTTGGCGTTCATCGGAAAATTCGGTCAACCGACACATTGACATCGATCAAGTCTACACCGCAATGCAATAAAGGACCAATCAACGCAAAGTTGGGTCGTGTCACACGTCACAACAGGACAACAATAACACTCGATCAACGACCGGCTGCTCGCGTCTACCTCATCCGCTATCGACACAAGGCGAACAAACATCAGCCAATCAGGCAACGCCACGTCTCTACATCACACAACGACCTGTATAAGGAAAGGGACACGCGTAAGCGCTACCCAGTTACTGCATTGAGAATGTCACCTCGATTGGTGATCAAACGTTTGCGTTGTATTCGTTCCTACAAATTTTCTTCTCATCCTTTTCAGCTCCCGCCGTCCAGTTGTATGAGTATTTGGCCTTTGTCTTCTCTCTATGCAACTGCTTTTGCGATCGCCTCTCACATCACCCGTTTTGTCATAGATCAGCAAGGGACTCTGTCTGAATTGAGGGCGCCTCCGCTGCACCTGAAAATCCTGGATGAATATGTCCGTTTTTCATTAGTTCGACATTCTTGTCGTTGCGTATGTGGTTGTTTGAGTTTATCATAGTCCTCCACCGTTAGGCCTCGTAGGAGCTTAATAGGTTCGCTTTTAGACGAAAAGTTACCTGAAAAGGTTTTCTGGCTTCATTCACAAAGTCAGATATCGCCTTTAGAGGATGAGGGTTTCCAAATTCGCGTTTGCTTCCAAATCTGAAAGCTGCATTCATCCAGACCATCCGGTCGTGAATATCCTTACTGGACAAGACTCCTCGAAGCAGAGATACGTCCGAGTCGATCCGAGCTTGCGCTATCAGCTCTGCACACTCCAGTATGTTACCGCTACGAGACACTGTCGTTCCAAGGGGCGTTCTAATGGCTGCCTTACCTTGACAGCAAATCTGGTCACTGGCACAGAATCTAGTTGTTTTAGCACTCAAAACAGGCTATGCTTTTGCTGTGGCTTTTAATTTACTTTCAGGGGTTTGGTCGACAGCAGTCACTTGCGCATAGGATCGTAGACCGGGCAGCTGAGCCTCTGAGAGCCTCACCATGGTCCAGGGTGGATGTCCTGAGTTGTGGCTGGTCACCCTCCCTTTGCATTTCGCGAAATACTCCAAGCGTCTCAAACAGCCTCTGTTGAAGAAGCCCTAATCACTGCATTCCCGTGGCGGAGGTGTTTTCCTATCAAACTGAAAGGATCAAAATCCAATATCCAGGGCTATAACCGGGTCGGTGAACCCTGGCTATTCATCCACAGAGGTTGGCTGAAACCCTGATTCTAAACCAACCAAGAAGAGGTGTACGAATGACATCCACATGTTCCTGGTTGTGGTAGCGGTCACCAGCTCAGTTGGGCATCGAGATATATCGGATACCTCGAACGTTTGACCTTGTCTGAAGGGCGTATAATCTGATGAACTGGACACACCGCCCCGCTAATATCCGGGTCAGGTTTTGGCAAGCCAAAGGCTCCGGTTGGGAAATCCACAAAAAATTTACCTGTTTTAGCTTGGGCAACCTAGCAGTATTTCCCTTCAAGCAAATCATGGAGCTTTTTTATTTACGCAAAGATTATTGTGCTGTCATTTGTACGGCGCCGTTTGGAATCAGACGCGTGTGAAATATAACGTATACTGATACATCTGAGCTGATAGGGTTATTGGTGGGACCAACTCAGCGACCCTGAGGGCATATCTCCGAACACATTGGGGTTGATGCTAGAGGTCGATTGACTCTCAGGCCGAATCACCTAAACCTCTACCTTCTGTTTCCTCCGGCGGTGCTGACTCGGCAGGACACCACATTTTCACTCCAGTTCGGTATATTCGCTGGAGATGGCCGTCGGGAAGTTCGGGACACGATAGTCACAAAAAGGCTGGAGATTGGGTGAGCCACAGGAATACAAAGCACCATACATATCTGGCGGGATTTTTTATAAGAAATGGTTTAGTCGCTGTCACCGGTATGCTTTGGACCCTGTTGTCCGAGGTTCGAGCTCTGCCACTGCCACCCAACTTTGGTGGTAGGCAGCATTGCTGTCGTCCAGTTCTATGCCACAACTGACCTAGCGGGGTCTTACGTGGTTCACCATCCCAAGTCCCGGAGCTTAGGTTCCCGCTTTCCATTACTGAATGACAGGCCTTCGTGACTATGGGGTTTACCCCGTCTGCTGTTCGTCACACACTAGTGTGTAATAAAAAAGAATAAAACCAACGCCTACGGCGATCATACAGTAGGGACTTTTGGCAACAGGGGAACACTTTTTGCTAGTGTACCTTGAACATAATCGAACTACAAGCTCCCACAGGTGATAAAAGCTCAGAAACAGATTCCATGATAATGGTGGAGACAACTTGGTGTAACGCATATCAAGTTCATCAACCCTTTCTAGCTGGAGTTTCAGTTTCAGTTTTTACAACCATTAACCATGCAGCTTCGTGCGCCGGTGTTGGTTGCTATCTTTCGGCTGCCCATTTGGATGAACATTAGGAGAAAGACAGGAAAGGTTGGAAGTAGGATCGAAGAGAAAATCGAAAAGGTCAGGGGGACTAATGATACAGAGAAATTGAGAAGACGCAAGAACGCCACTGTTTACGACAACTAAACATATCACTGTGTCTCTAACCATCGGGTACGACCATCCCGAGGTCCCCATCCAGGGATCCTAACGGGATCTATATGACCAAGACTCCTGGTTAGGAATTTCATATCCTCATGCCAGGTCCTACCTTGACAACTCTGGGCTTGATTCCACCCACTACCTGCCTCGGCAAACATTGCTCGCCGTGGCAACCTATTTGGTAATACGCGTAACACGTCCCAACCAACGTAATCTACGGAGGTCGACCACTTGCTCCAGTGGGCGACCGCGGTTGCCTAAAACTTTTCACCTG